CACGTCCGCGGGCGCGCAACCGCAACCGCAACTACGCGGCGCAAGTCGACCCGCCCGCGGGCGCGCAACCGCAACCGCAACAGGGCGACGCATGTCAACCCGCCCGCGGGCGCACAACCGCAACTGGGCGACGCATTTCAAACCGCCCGCGGGCGCGCAACCGCAACTGGGCGACGCATTTCGACACGTCCGCGGGCGCGCAACCGCAACCGCAACTGGGCGACGCATTTCGGCCCGCCCGCGGGCGCGCAACCGCAACCGCAACAGGGCGACACATGTCAACCCGCCCGCGGGCGCGCAACCGCAACTGGGCGACGCATTTCGACCCGCCCGCGGGCGCGCAACCACAACCGCAACTACGCGGCACATTTCGACCCGCCCGCGGGCGCGCAACCGCAACCTCACCTGGGCGACACATTTCAACGCGCCCCCTCGCGCGCAAGCGCAACTGGGCGACGCATTTCAATCCGCCCGCGGGCTCGCAACCGCAACTGCAACTGGGCGCCGCATTTCGACCCGCCCGCGGGCGCGCAACCGCAACCGCAATTGGGCGACACATTTCAACCCGCCCGCGTCGCGCAACCGCAACTGGGCGACACATTTCAACCCGCCCGGGGCACGCAACCGCAATTGGCGACACAATTTCAACACGCCCGCGGGCGCGCAACCGCAACCGTAACTACGCGGCGCAAGTCGACCCGCCCGCGGGCGCGCAACCGCAATTGGGCGACGCACTTCAATCCGCCTGCGGGCGCGCAACCGCAAGCGCAACTGGGCGAAACATGTCAACCCGCCCGCGGGCGCGCAACCGCAACCGCAATTGGGCGACACATCTCGACCCGCCCGCGGGCGCGCAACCGGAAGCGCTACTGGGCGACGCATTTCAACCCGCCCGCGGGCACGCAACCGCAACCGCACTTGGGCGACACATTTCAACCCGCCCGCGGGCGCGCAACCACAACTACGCGACGCATTTCGACCCGCCCGCGGGCGCGCAACCGCAACCGCCCCTGGGCGACACATTTCAACCCGCCCGCGGGCGCGCAACCGCAACCGCAACTGGGCGACACATTTCAGCCCGTTTGCGGGCGCGAACCGCAACTTGGCGACGCATTTCAGCCCGCCCGCGGGCGCGCAACTGCAGCCGCAACTGGGCGGCACATTTCAACCCGCCCGCGGGCGCGCAGCCGCGACCGCACCAAGCACCTGCCGCCCTCCTCCAGGGGATCTGAGGCGGGGGAAGGGCGGGGGGGGGGCGCGGGAAGGGGGGGGAAGTAGGGGGGGAGGGGGGGGGAGACGGAGGGAGGGCAGAGAGCTCACAACGATTGTGGGCGGGCAATTTCTGCCCCTCCCCCCCGCCCCCCGTTCCGCGCAAGTGGGTCTCCACAAGGTTCCAGACACTGGATTCCTTATTCAAGGCCTCCATGGTCTGCTAGCGGGATGGGCGGGTTAACCGCCTCCGGGGGGGGGGGCGAAGCTGTGACAGGAGCGGCCCGTTGCGCCGCCTAGTTTGAAGTTTTGGGGCGATGTCGCGGAGGTCGATCGCGCGTTCGCCCGCGCGCAAGCTGCCCGCGGATGCAGGTGCATCGGCGCAGTCTTATTCACGCAGCCTGCCGCGTCTTACTCATGATCTGGCGCAGGAGCAGGTGGAGGTGGAGGGCGGGGGGGGGGGGCGAGGAGGGGGGGGGGGGGGGGAGGAGCGGCAGCAGGACGAGGAGGAGGACGAGTGGGAGGAGGGGCAGCAGGACGAGGAGGAGGAGGAGGAAGACCAGGGTGGCCAGGAGGAGGGGGAGGGCGATGGGGGGGGGGGATGCCAGGGCGGCGCCGATCGAGAAGGCGCACGAGCAGGTGCTTGTTGCGGAGGACGGGGGAGGACGAGGCGGTGGATGACCCGCGGTTTTCCGCCGGGACATTGCAGCGGGGAATCCCCATCCACGCTGCTGCCTATGATTGTTTTGTTTTCTCGGGCACTTGTTCGTTTTCTCGTTTTCTCGGCCCTTGGGTTGTGATATCGCTTTCTCGGGCCCTGGTTCGTTTTCTCGTTGTCTCGTTTTCTCGGCCCCTGGGTCGTGGTTTCGTTTTCTCGTGCACAGGCTTGTTTTTCGTTGTTTCGTTTTGTCGGCCCCTGGGTCGTGGTCTCGTTTTATCTGATCCTGGTTCGTTTTCGCGTTTTCTCGGCCCCTGGGTTATGGTTGCGTTTTCTCTGACCCTGGTTTGTTGTTGGGGGCCCTGGTTCGTTTTCTCGTTTTCGCGGCCCCTGGGCCGTGGTCTCGTTTTCTCGGACCCTGCTTCCTTCCTTCGTTTTCTCAGCCCCTGGGGCGTTTTTTTTTTTTTTTTTTTTTTTTTTTTTTTTTTTTTTTTTTTTTTTTTTTTTTTTTTTTGTTTTTTTTGTTTTTTTTTGTTTTTTCTTCCCCCCTGACCCTGGGTCGTCGTCGTCGTCGGTCGCGCGTCGTCCGTCGCCCGTCGTCCGTCGCTGCGTTCGCGCGACCTCGCTCTCGTCGCGGCGACCGCGACGAGGTCATGCGAAGACGGCGACAATGACGGCGACGGCGGCGACAACAACGACGAGGACGACGACGGCGCCGCGCGAAGACGTCGGGCGACGGCGACGGCAACGACGACGGCGACGGGGGGGGATCGCCCGGAAGGGGGAGTTCAAGGGGGGGGCGGTAGCTTCCAGCAGGGTGGGTTCAAAGGGGGGGAGGTCAGCTCTCTCCCTTTGGCAAGTGGTGGAGGGGGGGGGAGCTCCCGGGGCGGCAGAAGGGGAAAGGGGGGGGGGCTTCCGGGGGAGGGGTGGTGGTGGGTGGTGGTGGGGGGGGGGGGGGGGGGCAGCAAAAGGGGCGGGGGGGGGTGGCGAAGCACCCCCCCCCCCTTCCTTTTTGGAAGGAGAGGGGGGGGGGGGGGGGCTTCCAGCAGGGGAGGGGTCAAGGGGCGGGGGCGTAGCACAAGCTGGGTGCGCTCGCGTCATATCTGACATCCTACCCCCCCTTCCATCCCTTACTATGGCGTAGATCCCCTCTCTACTCGCGCAGTCGGATGTCGAGCAGGGCGATGGGCCCGAAAGGGTACGCGATGCATTGTAGAGCACGGCGCGGCATGGCGTAGAAGAGCACCGCAAAACGCAGTATGCGACAGCATGGCGCGGCGTGGCGCAGCGAAGAATTGCGTCGCAAAGCCTTGCAACGCAAAACATGGCATCGCGCAGCGACCCCGAACATAACATTGCATACCATGGCGTTGAAGATCAAAACGTAGCATGGCATAGCACGACGCGGTACTTAAACACAGCATAGCACAGCTTCAGCTGAATGCATGGCATCGCGCAGCGGAACGCAACCTAGCGTTGCATTGCACGCCGTGGCTTGGCACGGGAAATGACGCCAGCGCTGCAGCGGGAGCGCGATTCGGAACGAGCGGAGGCACGGAAATGAGGCCAGCGCTGCAGTGTGAGCACGATTCGGAACGAGCGGGGCCCGAAAATGAGGCCGGCGCCTCAGCGAGAGCAGCATTTTGGAACAAAATGCATGCGAAAACCCAACTCCGGGGAATCTTGCGTGTAAAAACCAGCACGCGCGGGGGGGGGCGAACACTCCCAACCCGTCATCAGGGGAATGAGGAGAGTAGTATTCAGATGGAGTAATTGTTAAGAGGGGACCCCCCCATTTGCTCCGTCACTGTGGGCGCCCTCTCTCGTATATGTGGTATCTCTACAACGTGTCCAAGAACCGATTAATATATAAGTGCGACGACTGAACGCGATTGCCAGGAAGCTGCTGGCCTGCCCTAGGAAGATCACGTATCAATCGATGACTCCAACGGGCGAAGTTGACCTGCGCAACGATTCCGGCTTTTGACGCCTGAGTGGAGATGCTGATGACGAGGTCGGAGGCTACGGAATTCGCGGGGCAAAACTGCTACGGCGTGGAAGCGCGCCATCTGGTAAACCTGTCGTCCACTTGATCGATGTGCACCGCAAGTCTCGCCGCTTGCAGGCCTGGCAAGCAAAGACCTGAAGAAGCCGACCGAGAGTATTCTTTTAGGACGCATCAGTTGGATACGACAGATGATGGAGCGAGGGATCGTGCAAAGCACCCAGTGGCGTGACACTTGCGACACGACCGCGGACGCTCACACAACAGTGAGCATTGATAGAGGTATGCTCCTACAGGTCATGGGAGGCACGCGATCCTTCAAGCATGACTTACAGCGTCATGCTCCTTATTGGGCTGGCCAGACCAACTTGGTACGAGGCCGCTTGAGAAGTCATCGCATGCACAGCAATGTGCTTGCAAGGCAACTTGCTTGCGGGCCCACCTTCCCTACGGACCCGCCTTTTGCTGCCTCTTTGTACATGGTGTTTGCTGTATACGGGCGGCGACGTCACGCTTCGTCTCCCTTCCCCCCCGATTCTAAAGTGAGCTGGGGCAAGGGCGAGAGATAGCGAGCGTTTGTCCGCGGCCGTTTGTGTTCAGGCGGGCGGCCGCCAACATTTGACTGCGCCGCATTGCGAGGCATATGAGCCCAAAACGATTTCGATATTGCCCCAAGATGACCCCTTTTAAAACCCTACTTGACGACCCCAAGATTGTCTCAATATGGTTCGAATGTGACTCCGATGCGTTCCTTTCTTCTGCCCTTGCTCTTGTCTTGGGCCGATAGGACGAATTGGGGTGCTGTCCCTCAGCCCCCTCGTCGTCGTTTCTTCCCGTTCCCCTTCGTCCTCGTCGCCCTCGTCGTCGTCGTCGTCGTCGCTGTCCGCCTGGCCCCGCTAGCCCCATACGTAGCAGAAAACCGAATCCCGAACACAAACCGAATCAATCCATTTTCTGATTGAGCAATCCGCGCCGACCTTCAAAAGGGTCTCCTCATGCATTTTTGTTCCAGTCTGATGGGTCTGCGGTCTGCTGAGCAGTAGGGAAGCGAATCGCAGCAGCGGTAGTAGGAGGATGCGGGGGGAAGGGCAGTGCAAGTGAAGCTGCCTTCCGGCGTCCCCCGAGCAGGGGTTCCTGGGTGGACGACCAGAGGCACGGCAAGGGCGAGATGATGTTCAGCATGGACGAGAAGTCCGAGCAGAAGTTCTTGCACGAGGGCGTCTTCGAAAACGGCCTGGTCGAGGAGGAGGAGGAGGAGGAAGACGACGAGGAGGAGGCGGAGGAGGACTCATGATGGCCCGGCTTCGGGGTGCGCGCAGAAAGCCTCCAAGAGGTAGTCCCGGCTGGCCTGAGCAAGCCCCTCGAGCAGTTCGGGGCGGTCTCGACACCCTGGCGCCGCCTCCAGCGGGGCCCCTCGGGCGCTTGGCGCCCCAGGGCTGAGGTGTTGAACCACCCCAGACTACTCGCGGGGCCTGTTGAGGCCAGCTGGGACTACCTGGGGGGGGTGGCGCAACCCGAAACCTTACCACTCAGGATGAATTGTTTTACGTCCTCGTCTATCTTTATCTCTCAAGGGTTTCTCTCAATTCCCAGGTCACCCGATCTCCACTGCGGGACAAAGCCCGGCGTGCGCTTCCAATGTGGCAGCGGGGATCGCGGGCATGGGAGGCCTTGGGGGGGCGAGGCTCCAGCTGGCTTCGAGAGACCCTCGTGGCTGTTCAGTGTCCCCGCTTCCCCTTTGAATTTCGAAGATGGGCCCTGGATTGCCAGTGGAAGAAGTCGCGATGATAACGAGTAATAAGAGTAAGGTGTGTCACCCCGTCCCTCCGAATTCCGAGAAAGACCCCGTATTGTACTACCAGTTGCAGGGGTGGTAATAGTAGTACTAATGTGAATATTAGGGAGAGGAGAATAAACATGGCAATGGTGATTTTGAGGTGGATGAGGAGGGGAAACAAGGGAAGAGGATTGGGATAGTAAGGAAGGGCGCTTCACCCTCTCCTGAATCTCGACGCAACTATACAGATGCGTCAGACCAGTTGCGACGCGAGAGGGCACCAGACTGTGAACAGCAATTCCAACACCGTGGAACGATTAGGATCGGCATGTTCTGACACGGCCACGTTCTGCTTCACACACCCTAAGTTCTTCCAGGCCCGGGTGTCCCAGGCATAAAGAAGAGACTCTAAACACATGCCACGCATCAGAGAACAGGAAACACATATGGGAGCATACTTTGACAAGCAGCAATTGCATAACACTCAGGACCAGCGTTGGCAAAACCACCCATCATCTGCCTGCACTGCTGCAAGTGTAAAAAACGACAACGTGCGGCCTACTACACACAAGCTCGATTGCTTGATCAGTCCAGCCAGCACTCCGACCGAGCGCATTTCGGATGATGCGATGCAAAATATTGAAGTATTCGCATGCTTTGTGGCCCCGAAATTGAAATCTCTGGTGCAAGCCCGACGCCAGAGCAATGTGCCGAACTTGCTCCGGGCAGGCCCGAAAGGCTGAAGACCGACAAGCCTCGCCGCATTACAGTCAACCCGCATAGTAAGGATGACAACTTTCCAAAGTTACCCTTGCATCCTTCCCCTTCGGCCCATCCTTGGCATTTTTCGCTGGCCGCGCCCCGATCGCAGAGTGTCGGCATGGCCTTCCAAGGCGCTTGCATCCTTATCGTGCGTCCTTGTTATACGGGTTGACTGCATGAACATCTAAATGGGGCGCCCCCGAATCAAGGAGCGCGTGTGGGCAGGCAGCTCCACGGTGAGAATGACCCCCTCCCGAACTGGAGACACATGCCCGACCAGTGAACACCCCATCGCCGCCGTTGAGGCGACATTCAGCAGCATCAAGCGCGGGATCACTGAGCAAAGCTCGCGCGGAGTGCGACTGGGGCTCTCTCTGTGCCGAACGACCACAAACAAGTCAAATCATCTACCCATCGCACAGCGATAACGCATTTGTGGAATACTGGCTTGTCCTTCATGGTAAGAGCACGCAAGTAATATTCCTCACGCGCAACAGTGAACAACCGAGACGCGCCAGGGCTAGCAGCGGAGCTTCGGCTGGATTTTGTCACCTGGATGTGTGTATCGTTTGGCCCATCATGCAGAAATCGATCTCCCAATCGATTTTGGTGACAGTCGCGAGACCGTCGGCGCGCAAACAGCAGAAACCTTGAAGGCGCGCCATGCACGGCTCTACGACGACCTAGCCAGTCAGCGCAAACAACTTCCACAGCGCAGCGCCCAGCGCGCGGGGAAAAGCCCATCGCCGCCTCATCGTTCGGCGACAAAACAACAAGTAAACATTACGACCGAGGATTCCACTGCCTCCATAGCATCCTGCCGTGGAGCCTGCGCGGAAAAAATACAGTGTCCATGCATTTTGCAGAAGACGCCCCAGTCGTCATTCGCGAATCGAGGCCCCTGCGAATTGAATGTGACGGCTCGCGAGTGGACTTCGCTCAAAGAGTTGACGACGAAGTTTTCGTTTTGGCAAGAGACAGATGCCATGCAGTTGCACGCGACAGAGACAACAAATATCAGCCGTTGCCAAGTGCATTGCTGATGCGAAATTACAGCGTGCACCCCCACCAACTCCCACGTCTGCTCGCTCATTGATTCCAGATTGCCAACGCGCTGGACCGCCGAGGCTACGACGCTCCGCCTTCGCGGCGAATGGACGGGCACGCGCTGGAACGGCGATGCAAAAGTTGCAGAACCCATTGCTGACTTGACGCTATTATTGTAAAGAGACTTTGCGTCAACCTGAGCGCCCCGCCGACGTCTTCGCAATGCCAGCGCGCTTCCAGAGCCATGGCGAGCGCGTGTTCTCGCGGCGTTTGCCCATGGGCCCAGCGGCGCCTTGAGGAAGCATGGGTTGCAGATATCCGGCAGGCGGCGTCGAGACGCCCGCCCGACAGCTGGCCAGGCCCTCGCTGCACCCAGCCAAATCATCAAGAACCAACGGGCACCTTCGGGGGGATGGTAGAAACCCGGCGTTGGAGTCCGCGACATTTCACCCTCCGACACTTGCGAACAACGACGGCGCTGCACATCTCAGGTCCGGCGCGGCGCGAGAGCGAGCATTCCGGGGCGTCGGGGGCCATTGTCGCGACGAAGCTTCGCGCTTGTCGATGGGGGCGAAGACGTTGGCATCGACCATGTCGACACTGGCGGAGCCGGTCTGCGGGCGCGGCGCAGATGCGACCTCGTGCCCAGTTCTCTGCCGTTGCGAAACTGTCCTCATCATACAACTTGTTGGTGTGAAAGGCAAGTGGGGGGAGTGAGAGAGCAGGTAGCATGGTCAGCATACGTCCTCCCCCTCTCTCCCTCGTTCCTGCCCCCCGCAGGTATTTCCAGGGATGTTGTGCGCATTCGTTCATCGACAGAGACAGTATTTGTTGGCATGCTTGTGCATTCGATTGCATGCGTCAGCGATCATTTGATTGCGCACTGTCCATTTCATGACCCCTCTTGAGGCATAGCGTTTGATTATGTGGCCACTTCGGCGCAGCGCAGCACTCGAGTGCCCAAGGCAGGTCCTTTCCAGCACGGGCCGTTCCCGCAGCCAGCGGAGCCGGCATTCCAGGCGGCGGAGGCGGTCAGACTCCCCGAGGAGTTCACGCGGCCCCCGCCGTCGGTCCCATCGCCGCTCCCAGGGGCGCTCGCTGACGCCGCGGCCGTCGCCGCCGGCAGGGGGGCCCGAGGCCCGCGCCGAGGCGGCGAGAGCCGCTGCAGGACAAGCTGGCGTCGAACAAGGTCTGCGACAGTGGCTGGCCCGGCACATCCCTCCGGGCTTTGAGGCGCCGCAGGCGCAGGTGGTTGAGGGCCTCAAGAGCACGTGCGCGAGCGCCCAGTGGCAGTTGGCAGTGGCGCCGATGCCCTTGCTGTTGCAGCTGTTCCCAGCTGGCACCAAGGGGGCAGAGCTGGCCCTGCGCCTGCGCGCGCAGAGGGGGGCGGCAGCCCCAGAGCCCACCAGGGCAGCAGAGCAGAGCAACGCTGCGTTGAAGGAGGTGGCCCGCCTGGGCAAGAAGATGCGCAGGGACCGCCGCAGGAGCGATGGCCGCAGTGTTCCCCCCAGCTCTGCCAGCTCTGGCCACAAAGACCTGGGCGCCACGGCGCGCTTGCAGAAGTGCGGCCTTTCGGGCATCCGGCGCGACCACAGCGCCCCTCGCGACGACTTGAAGAGCCTGGCGGGCTCGGCCAGGAAGGCCGCCAGGCACAGCCGCGACTGCGCGGCAGGAGGTCCGTTGCCGAAATGGGCACCCCAGTGGATGTCGGAAGAGCGCAAGCCCAAAGGCGCGGGGGCGCGCCCAGTGGACAGCAGCCTGGCGGGCGCGCGCACCGGCGCAACTCACTCTTCAAGTCCGCGCGGGCAAGGAAGCCGTCTCCGTCGAATCCCTTCTGTCCGCCTTCCTCGACGTGAACCGCCTGGCGGTGGGGGGGGCTCTGGCCGCGTCGCGGTGGAGTGCGATTCCAGCCTCTGGAAGGAGATGGCAGAGAGGACCCGCCGCAAGGACGCAGCCTGCGTGCCCAGGAGCATGCTCGCTAAGGTAGACGAGCATAGGCGCGAACAGGCGCGGTCGGCGGCGAAGGCCCAAGGCCCCGCCCGTTCCTACAAGGGTGGCAAGTGGGGCGACAGGGGCGCAGGCAAAGGAGGAGGCAAGCGCAGCGGCGTCTACCAGCAGGGCGCCCAGCCGGCCGCGGGCCAGCAGAACAAGCAGCGGTGCCCGCCGACGCCCCCGCCCCCTGCGAAGGGCGGCAGAGGCAAGGGTCACGGGCGCCGTTGAGCCGGCGCCGAACTGAGCTGGAGTGGCGCGAGCGAGGGCGAATCACATTCGCTTGATAGCTGCCCCTCGGGCGACAGTGACGGACCAGCTTGTGGCGACGATGAATTTGATTGCATGGAAGATCCCGTTTTGCACATGCACGGCGCTGTGGCCAGCTTCGAGTCGCGGGGCCCGTCGCCCTGGCATCTGCGGCGAGACGTGATCGCAGAGCAAGAGCAATGCGCCCAGCGGTGGGCGTCGCAGCCAGCGGCGCTGTTGGCGGAGACCAGCGAGACGTTGAGTGAGTGGAACAGACAGAAACAGAAGCACGCGGGTGCGTTGAGTCGCTGGCGCCAACAGTTGCCTCGAGAGAGTGCTCGCGTGCTGGGCGCGTTGGGCCCATTCGCCATGGGGTGTGTGCTGCGAGCGTCACGCCATGCAGATACA